AAGAAGGAGGCAGGAATGCTGACAAGAACAACATTCTCCACATTTACAATGTTCATTTGATTTACTAGCCCACTATTTTAATATGTATTTGGTACGTTCACTATGCCTTTTCATAACTGCTGCAGCAGATAGAATGAAAAGTGATAATATTAGTGTGTAATAAAAGACATTTGGGTTTCAAAGACATTTCTAATGGGATAGTGAGGCAATTTATTTCAGAAACTGAGTAATTTCTCACTCTGGAAGACATTAATGCAAGGTTAAGCAAATATTGTTCAATTTACTTACATGTATTTGTGGCATGGGGTAGGGATGAAAAGGATGACCTCTTCAGAGCTCTTCTAGTGCTATTTATATGGTATTTCATATTATATTCATGCTTATAATTTTCCTTGCTAGCAAAAGCACTGGAAGGTGAATTAATTTAGAATAAACATACATTCATTCTCACAGAGAACATGTTCATGTGGTGTAAGGCTTTAAGATCTCTAAGATTTTAATTTTCTGAATATCAGTGTTGCATTTGAAAGTGTAGAAATCTTATCTGTGGATGTAATTAAAATTCAACAGAAATCCATAAATGGCCCAGAATCATTAGTATTTCTTGACAGCAAGATCATAAATCATTTGTGAAACTTTACTGGAAACCAGAGAAAATGGCTTTTCTCTTTAACACAGGCTAGGACATGACCTTCAGTGTTTCTGTCTATAAGAAGTTAGAGTAGTCACTTGTAAGAATTTTAAAGTTAATATTATTTGAGTGTTCTCAAGAATGTGACAAACTGTCCCTATTTCTCAAACCTTTGTACAGTAGGTACAGTGTTAGTTGTGCTATTTGACCTCAGGGATAATCACAGGGAAGTTGTGGCTCATGACAAATCTTTCTTTGACAAGAAACCACAATGCTGCTTTACTCTATGGAATCTCAAGTTGTTTCACATTTTTTCTAAATAGTCAGGCTTGCATCTTTTCTCCTTCCATTAGCTTTTGCCACTTGACATGCTGATAAGGCTTAGTTTAAAATGCATTTCAGCGGAGGCAGGGGACATTGTGTTGTCTGACACCAGGAACAGCAACAAGAGCTTCAGAACAAAAAGCATATATTTAACAGCTGAGGAGCCAGTTTCAAGGTGTGAGGTTGTCAAGTGCCCAATCACCTACAGCATGTGTGACACATCAAGTCATCCTACAGACAACTAATTTGGAGAATAGAAAAAGGATGAGGATTATAGAAAGGAGTCAAGGTGCCTGTGGCAAGTGGGTGATTGAACCTCTGGGTATTTCTAGCTGGAATCTGAATTCCAAAAACACAGAGATGCTTCTGTAGTGTGTTGGAGGTCCCTTAGCAATGTGATTCAGAGGTGTTCAGCATATTTTGACTGAATATTTTAAATCCGCTAATGTAAAATTGAAGTCTGGAATTTTTTTGAAGTCCCCTAGCAATTACTTTATTATGCTATCTTTACTCAGAATTGATCAAGTTAAGTTGGTGTGCCAAATGTATTTTTTCTCAGGAGCACATTCTCCGGTGCTGTGCAATGATTTCTGCATTAGCACTCTTGTCTTGTCACAGCAGCAATTCAGCAAGTTGGCCCTATATGCCTTTTTATGAAGATACTTTTTCACATTTCCCCTCTCTGCTGTGCCTAATATGTAAACATGAGGGATGAAAGATTGGTCAGTGTTTCCATAATGGCATGGACCCCAGAGGACTCATGCATATTCACTTATTATTAAATAGTTCATATGCCTTTAACCCATCACCAAATGAGTCAAGATTTGCATTTTGCTTGCTATTCAAGTTTTCAAACTCATGAGCTCCCTGCCAAATGAGAATAATATTTATCCAGGTTAATTGATAAAATCTCCTCAACATAAAGTGCTCTAGGAAACAATTTCAGAACACTTACATGTTATATTAACATCTAATTATTTTATTCAACAACCCCAGAGGAAGTGGGGATGTAGGATGAATGAAATGTGTTTTCTATTGCATTTTCTCTAGAAAAACTCATCTACTTCTAACATATCTGTATGTTGTCTTTTGATTAAGACCTAAACATCGTTAAGGATCTGAGCATAAGGCTATTTCAGTCTTAACCAAAAAAATAAGAATTCAAGCAAAACAGTTGCTAGATTTTGAATAATGAATAGTTTTGAATTGATTACTGTATTCTACTGTGAGTTTGAACAAAAAAAAATTAAAAAATAGCTGAAAAAAATCAAGAGAACTGCCATAAGTTCATAAGCAAGATGTAAACAGAAATAAAGCCAAATTTCTTAAATAAATGATTCATTACAATCCAGTACTTCAAGCTTTTTTCCCCACCTTTGGAGTTACTCTTTTCTTTTTTTTTTTACCTAAGGACAGTTTTCTATGAATTTACATCGTGATAAATGTGTCCTTTAGGCAGAGAAGCAGAGACAAAACAGAGGGTTGAAATTTGTTATGGAATGTCACACACTGTAAAAATTCTAGTATTTCAGGTTCATTGTGTTTTGCACTGTTGCTTTCTGTTATCCGTAAAACGTTTACATTGGTGACTTTTTTCCCCCCATTAACACGTTTTAAGCTGAATAATTTCAAATCATCTCATTGTTCATTTTATTGGCAGCAGACTGAAAGCAAACCTTTGTATTTTGCTGCTCAGGTGGGAGAAGGAAGTCTAGTTGATGTTATCGTAAATGGGAATAAATCTAAATGTTCTCCCCCACTACTGAATTGAATGAATTTAAGGTAGAGTAGGCTGCTTGTCAACAGGAAGTTATGATGAAAACCAATTAAAACAAGTCCTGTTCGAGCATAATTCCCTTTTGTAGCCTTTTCCATTTCATAAATTCCTTCCTTATGTTCCAGCTCTAAAGAAAAGAAAAAACACACTTGCCACTTTTCTCTGACAAACACTAACAGCTGGAAAAAAAAAATCTGACTCATTCTTATCTATTATGTATGCATAATATTCACTAATATTTTTATATATAAATCTATTTTGCTAAGGTTGCCTTTTTGCTCCCAACCATTCGCTTTCCTGACATTTTAATGTCAGCCAAATGCTGCTGCTAGGTATGGGGATAAAAACTCCTCAGGAGAAGGTTGCTGCTTTGATGGGAGATTACCAGAAAAACCCAGCTGTTCTAAGCACTGATTTTGATATCTTTATTAGCTGTATATAATGTGTCAATAACGAGCGCATGGGAATGATTTTAACGTGAATGGAATTCTAATTACAACAGGGATTAACCGACCTACCTGTCCCTTCCTGTTGAAGTTCAATATTTAGACACCACATTGCTACATTCAGATTTCCTGTTTAAGTCCTGCTTTATGCTCTGACGACCAAAGCCTTCCGAGGCTTCCATCCAGGCATCAATAGAGCCACCCAGCCCTGGCACTACAGAGCTTCTCACAGTGGGGTTAGCACAGAAATCCCTTAGGACAGCTGTAGCAGATCTTTGGAGGAGTTTCTCAGAACACAGTGGCTCTACCTCTGCTCTCTTTTTCTGTGTGGTTGAAAATGTACCATCAAACTTGGATTTTTCAGTGTTTTCCCAAGATCTCTTGGTGTGGAATGTTGTTTGTGCTGCCCAAAAATTCAAGTGTTAAAAGTTGTCCTAAATTAATCAAAATGTTTCTAAGTACTTTGCTTCTAAACTGGGTTACTTTCTGTTTCTTCTGCTGTTTCCTAATTTTTTATTAGGAGAGAAAATGAGTATTCACGTTCTGCTCACCTTCTCTATTCTAATAATTACTATCATATCTATGTATCTCTTTAATCCTGTATTTTCCTAGACTATCAAACTATCTTTTATATATGTGCCCTTTGATACCCTTTCATAGCCTTCTTAATTTTCTTTAAATCATGTCCTTCACCAGTCTATAACTTTTTTTTCTTTTTCCTTCAACTTTTAATTCTCTATTCCTGTGTAATACTATATGCTTGCTCTCTGTGAAATAATCAGAAGAGTTGACAGACAAAGGTGTCTGGCTTCCAAGATTATTAGTTGCTTCTGCTGCTTCCATTTCCCTGTCTCCTTAACAGTTCCATCTGTCATGAAAGTCCAGCACTTTTCAAAGTTTTTTCTTTCCAGCCCTTTTGCAGTAGACTTTTTTTGGTCCTCAAAACCACTCTTATAACAGTTGAAACCGGGCAAGCATCTTACTACTGATTACATTCTTTAGATTGACTAGGTATGTTAAGAACAAAATGAGAAATCAATGAAGAACTGTAGTGTTTTGCTGTAAGTTTTCAATGAATAATTCTAATGAGAGATTTTGCACACTGAATGTCATTCACCAGCTTTTTGCTTTATGGTTTTCTTATTTATTGGGGCTGATCTTCTTTGTAAGATAAATCACTTGATATTAAATACTTACAACAAGTTGTGTTTATTCTCACCCTGCCCCTTCAGTCCCCGTCTCCTGAAATTATGTGTGGGGAAAAAAGAGAAAACAAAAAGCAGAGCTTTTTTACTTTTTCCCCCCAAAATATCTGGTTTATTTTTACGAATAATTGATGTAAACTGTACTGAGAATTGATCTGGGGATGAACTCAGCCTTAGAAATCTTCTATGTTTGCAGTAAGCTTCATGAAGAATAAAGACTCTTGAAAGTTATTATTTCACCTCTAATAGCATTATGTGTGAATCTAGCAAACTTGATGATCATAGGATGAATATTTAACTCCAAGGTGATAAGAAGGTTGTCTGGTCTGTTTTATGATTAGGATTCGAGCAAGTGCTACATAGTATAACAAACATCATGATTAAGAAATTTGATCCTTTTTCTTTTTCTGGAAGCTCTTATCTATTTGATTTCAATGACACAGCAACCCCAGAGGTAACAGGGCTCTGGAGCCTCACAAAACTGCTGCTGTCCAGGAAGAGACACACAGAGAACGATACAGAGCTGGGAGGGGGCAGAGAGAGATTTTTATTGGAAGCTGTTAAAGTGGTTGCTATGAGACCTTCTCCAGCGAACACAGGCACAGCAGTGAGTGTGAGGCTGATAAATCACACCTCTTGCATTATACCTTTCCTTTCTGCTTTTTTTTTTTTTTTTTTCCCTAGCACAGCTTTTATAGTTGTTCAAGATCAGGGAAAGCACCTGCCAGTTGCTTTTTTCTTCGTTTTGCTCCCTTCTTCTGCCTCGTGCAAGATGGAGCTAGAAAACGAAATGATCAGCTCCTCCAGCAATTCTTCAGCAGGCTCCAGAGAGTACAAGGTGGTGATGCTGGGAGCAGGGGGAGTTGGCAAAAGCGGTAAGTTTCAGCAACAACATTTCTGGGGAGAAGGGGTGCATTGGGAGCATAAAGTTCCCAGGACAAGGACGCTGTTTACCGACAGGTTTCTTGCACATGGCTTGGATAAAAGACTGTAGTTTGTGTCTGGGGTGATGAGTCAGCTGGATTTGTTGCAGGCTGAAGTGTTACAGGCATTTTAGTTCGGTGTTTGTGTAAAGCTGACCTTGGTTCTGCTGTGTCTGAGGGGAGAGCAGTCAGATTGCTGCTGTTGGTTTAACACCAAGTGGCACTTGGCGAGGGATGATGGTCTGCTGGACAGCGTGGATGTAACTTGTTGGCCTGACAGTCCCTGTGCTCAGACAGAAATGAAACTAACTGCAAAGTCAGCTGTAGGAGGATGCCTACAGTGACTCAATTTTCCTCCCCACATTTTTTTTTTTTCCTTTTTGTGTTGATTGTCATTGTGGTTCAGCTGCTGTGAGTCTCCTCTCCTGTCCGGACAGGTACAGAATGCCTGCCTCAGTCTCACTCCAGGTGATAAGGCAGATTTGCAGCATATTTTAATATCACTGTCCAGAGCTGGTAAGATATGCTGGTGTCTGACAATGATATCTCTTCAGAGGAGTCATTATTTTCCCCTGACATTGTTTTCTTTTTCCCAGATATTATCACTTTTGATTTATTCTCACTGAAACTAGCATTCTCTGTTCTTACAAAGACTTTGCTGAACATGCAGAGTTTGTCTAAGAAGTCAGTGTATTGAGCTGGCCACACAACAAGCATTTGATTACATCTTATGGAAATTTGAAAGAAAAACAGAAAGAGAAAAGAAAAAACAAAAAAGCAGAATAATAGAATATATCCAGGCTAGATTCCAAGGAAATTTCAGGATAAGTAAACTGTAACACCAAACTGTAATAATTGTGTAGGTCAAACAAGTTTTATTTATACTCAAACAATAAAATGAGGCATGGGTGCAAAAAAACTGAATATTGGGAGTAGATGTAATTTTGTCTCTCTATCCATAATTTTGTATTCTTGTTATGTTTGGCTTCAGCTTCAGTGGCACATCTTTCAGTGAAAGCTATTTCCCCATCAGTATTGCTTAACCAAGCAAACAATTCTTGCACAGATGTTACTCTATAATCACCACATAAAATGTCGAAGAAGAAAATATTGGTTGTCTCAGAGTAAGTTTTTGTAATTTCAAATTATCTTTTCCATGGTAAAACAGGTATCCAGCTGGAACTTTTAGTAAAATGTCACTTCTTGCTTTTTCTTTTTTTCCTTTTTTTTTTTTTTTTCTGAGTGCATCCAAAAGATGGCAGTAAGTTTTGGGTTTTTTTTCCCAAACATATCTTTGTAAGAACAATGTAATTTTGAAAACTTATTTAACAAAAGATATTACAAACCATACCAAATTCCTAGTATGACTGAATCATAACAGTCAAACTTTGTATATATATATTGAGGAAATTTCGGAGTTCACATTCACTATTAGATAAGAGTTTAAATGACAAAATTCGTTTATTGGATTCTCCTTATTTAGAAGACATTAGCTGTTAATATCATGAGAATAAAGCCTTCAAATCTGTGGATTGCACAAAACAATGATACATCTCCAAAGCTGAGAACCACATAATTAACAATTAGAATTGTGTGTCTGCATGGTCTAGAGAAATAAAGATAGCATTAAGTGGATAGTTATGACTGTTCATTGGGATAAATGAAAACTTTCCATTGTTTTCACAAAAGTTAAACTTTTAGGCGAAAAAAAAAGCCAAAACAAAACAACAACTGAGGATTATTAAGATAGGAGGTGGGTAGTCAACATTTACTGGCTTTGAAATGGACATAAAATATTTCAGTGGAATCCTGAGAGAGAATCCAAGTGATAGAATTCTCATAGAGATAAGGAAAAATTGTTGGTATTCCATAAGTCATTAATTCATTCTGACTGTTACATAAACAGGATTAATTTACACTGGATTACAAGCAGAAAAAGGCCTAAATGACTACTTTAATTCTACAAGATGAGCTCTTTACCCTAGTGACCTAGATTCATTTTGTTAAGGATGTTATGAGTTTAACCATAAAAATGGATCAGGGTTGAATAAAGATGAAAGACTAAAAAAGAAAAAAGAAAAAACAACAACAAAACAAACCCAAAAAATTCAGTTCCCAGTTTTGATTTTGACAAATAAGTGATATATGATTAGATGTACTGATAATATCCTGGCTTTTTTTTTTTTCCTTCTTTTTTCTCCCTCTTACTTTGCTTTTAAGTCATGATAAAAACAGTAACAGCTGGGGTTGAGTTATTGAGTGGGAAACAAGAGGAAACCTCTTTTGGATGAAAGACTTTTTCATTCCTCAATACGTTAAGTATTAAATAATTCAGGTTTTGAATGAATTTTCCACTGGAACCAAGATGCAGAAATGTTAGATTTCTTTTTACTTTAGATGTAGTTCACTTCTAGAGACCCCCTGGGAATTTTGATCTGCTGTTTCCCACTCTCTTACTGTGCCACTTCATCCTGTGTGTGTGGAGGTCTCTGCATTGAAAACTGCCTGCTCCTTGTGAGGGGCTGAGGGTTGTGACTGTGTTTGTTCACAGGGAGGAATTAGGAAGAGGAGACCAGCACCGGATGTCCTTTGGCATTGGTGTTTACAGAATATTTGCTTTGGGTTGTCAGGCTTGTCTCTTCAGTTGTTTACTCCAAGATGATGGACAGCCCAGGAGGACAGTCAGTGTCCTGTTATTTAAGCTATTCTGTTTGGTAGAAATTTCAAAGGAATTGGTAAAAAGAAGATAAAGCTCAGCACATCCAAGTCTGATACCCATCACATCCAGAGTAATGATGTGCAAACTGCAAATGATTTAAGAATTGTTAGTTAACAGTCCTCACATTTCAAAATCAGTGCCACTATTTTGTAGGAGGAAAAGAAAAATCCACCCCAAACCCAGAGGAATAGTTGTGTTTAATTAAAATGTACAAAACTCCATGTAAATTTTCACAGGACTTGATTTCTGTACTGTAATTATGGACTACAGATGCCCTAGAATAAATTACCCTTTCTAAGACTTCTGAAAACAAAGCTGTTTTTGTTTTCAGAGCAACATGTTAATTTATTACTTTGCATAGGTTGTGTTTGTCGTCAAGAACATCAAGTACAGTCTGATGCAATTTCAGACCAAAATTTGGTTAGAACCAGGAATTAGACGGAAATTAAACTGAAATGAAGTAAAGTGAATTTTCTACTGACTCTCATTCAAGTATAGTCCATGCCAAAATTTCATATTTCCAATTATATGTAAGTTTCAATTAAAAAAGAGAACTTGACACTTGATCTTCTCAGACACCTCAGTATCATTTAAACATACTTTAAATTTCTTGACACAGGGTTTAAACCCTAAGCATCTTGGTGCTTTTGAAACCCATTTTCCTGAGAAATACCTTCAGAGATCGGTGAACAAGTTACTCTCATGGTCCCTGTCTGATGCAGCTCAGACTCTGCGTTTATCTCTGTTTTTCAGTGTTCCAAGAAACACACACGAAAGAGCCTTTACATCCTGTGACCATCTACTGCTGGCTCATATTTAGCAAACCAATTACACTAATAACAATAATTGACTGCAGCACATTCTGCAAAACATTAGCAATGATTAACCTGGGGGTTGAACAGTGGCTAACAAAATCAACAAATTGATGTACCCTGTGCCACCAAACAAAATGAAAAAACCTCTGCTAATGAAAAATTGTTACTACCTAAGCATTCTTCAAGTGCTGATCAGATTGTGCCATGACCTAACTTTTTGTGTATCTTCCTGACTGAATGAAAATGTTGTTCTGGTTTGTTTGTCTGTTCGTTTTTCCCTAATGCTAGTTAACAGTGATATATTTAAAGCTGAAGATATTCTACAGTTATTCCAGGTAAATAGAATTGCATGTTTATGCATAGAATAAGTGCATCATAGACAAAAAGTTTCATACTAACTATCTTATGAAAGTTGTACTTCAGATGAGTACAGGAATTCTTAAAAAAGAAAAACAAAAACCTAATAAATATTTGTTGCAAATTAGTTAGATTTTTATTTAGGAGAAAGTTTACATTTTTCAATATTTATTTCTCAGACTGATTGCCAGTTGATTTGTTACCACTTTAAGAAATTTGTAGGGATTTAAAGTAGTTGCCCCAAGATATTTTGCAAAATTAATATATTTTTTAGTTTTATTATACATGGGAAAATATTTACATATGTATTTTCAGGCTTCAACCTTAGAAAGAATAAAAAAGAGGAAGCAAAGAAATCAAGAAGGTATTATCTTAGGGTCGTTGCAGGAATAGTGTGAGGGAAGATATTTCTCAGCCTGATCTGGTTAGAGGTGGTATGCTTACCCCATTGATTTCCTTGCTTTTTTTTTTTTTTATGTTGCATAAAGACTGTGTTTCTACAGATGCAGGTGATTAATCCAATTAATTTCAAGATCATGCATACAGAATAAGTTCCAAAATGTGTGAAAACAATAATTTTTTTTTTGTGATATGGGAATTTCAGCACGAGGAATTAGATTAAATCTGCAAACTTCTTTTATTTATGTGATAAACTGCCCTTTTATTTTTTTGACCAGTTTTACCTCTTATTCTGTCCAGATAAAGCAAATTCTCTGTCTATTAATTTCAACTGTGTCCCCATAACAAGAGCCCCAGTAAGCAGAGGTAGCCATATAGAGTGTGTACTGGAGAACTGTCCCACTCCAGCTGTTTGTTAACTCTCTGGAGATAAATTAATACATGATCAAGTCTACACTGAAAAAGATGAAGGGCACAGATGGAGATTCCATCTGTATAAGAAGTCCTGAGCTTGAAAAGCACCATTTGGATCTGCTGGTGACGCTCTTACACGATCACAGGGCTCAATATCACACACCACAGTTCAGGCATTGATCAAACAACCTTCTCAGTAGGTGGGGTTTTTTTTGGAAGGGGTTTTGGTTTTGATTTGGTTTCTTATT